AGCAGAGAGTTAATACAAATGCCAAGAGTCACTGCAGGTGGTCAGATAAAGGGTAACAACCCAACTCCTGCCTTGTGCAGGCTGTAATCCTGGGGATTTGGAAGACTGCAGATTCAAAGCCTGCCTGGACAATTTAGCAAGACCCTGTCTCAAAATAAGAAATAAAAAGGGCTGAGGATATAGCTCAGTGGGTGTAGATTCCCCGGGTTCAATGCCCAGTACCACCAAAAAAAAAAAAAAAAATTCTTAGAATTCAATCCTCAGTACCAAACAACCAACCAACAACCCAACCTCTCAGTTGTTAAGGCAAAAGGGTGCTAATAGCAGAGTTCCAAGTGGGCAGAGCCATAGCAAGGGGATCATGCTGAGCTGCATGTCCAGGGACAGAGTCAGAAGTTGGTTGCCTGGCATTGTGGTGAAGTGTTCACCAGGCAGTCCGTGATAAGGTCAATCAGTGTTGCTATGTCACAGCAACATAGGTGCTCCTCCTTTTATATTTCAAGTAAGGAGGTTGCATCATTCATTGGTCTGGTATTTCTGATAAAATCTCATGCCTACTTTCTTTGGTATGGCACTGATAAGTCCAGGTGACTATGTGCCATTGACAATTTATTAAGTTCACAGGTGGTAATTTTTTATTAGCTCGAGTAAGTTATCCATCATTGTGTGCCTCGTGTTTGTGCTGAGCAGCTGGTGGTTGCTCTCCATCAGTTGTGTGTCCAACATCTGTTGGTTATCTACTCGCACAGACAAAGCACTTGTATTCAAAATGGAGCAGCTCAGGGCAAGCTAGATCTCTATAGGAAATGAGTAACTCAGTGCAGGGCACAGTCTGCTCTCTACAAGAGAAACTGCCAGGGCCACCGAGAAAGCCCAGAGAAGTGGGAGGAGGACCAGGACAGCCTGTTCCCTTAAAACCCAAGCAGAAGGAAGAAAGGCACATAAAGTACCATGGAGTAAGGAACAAAACAGCAGCTGGGCTATTTAGCAGCCTCTCATTGGTGATGTTTGCCAGCTAAGTGTCAGCCGTGTGGGGATCTAAGAGTTGAAGGTTGCTAGGTTGAACAAGGGATCAGAAAGGAAGAAAGGGAAGACAACAATTTTTAAAATTTTGAGGTGGTAGCTTTGAAGAGCAGAAATGAGCAAGGAACATAGCCAGAAGAGAGTTCAATAAAGGGTTGCTTGATGAGAGGGAGAGTTTGAAAACATAATTAAAAAAAAAATATATATATATATATATATAGTTAATAATTTAAACATCTGTAATTATGACATCTTTCAAACACTGAGAAGCATAGAGAATGATGTAGTGAATATCAGTGCATCTGGGTATCTTTGTCATATTTAATATTTTATATATAATGTTTTTTTTAAAAGCCTATCATACTTAAGTTTTCAAAAGGGGAAGATTATTACCTGCCTTCCTGGGGTCTATTGAGATAAAGATAAGAATTTTTTTTCTCATTGAGTGAAGTGGCCTTAGGCCTTTGGAGATGGTACCTGTAATACCTCCTCCCTGGGACAAGTCTGCTTACTCAGGGTGGGGAGAACTTGACTTCTGTGTGGCCAAGTTGGATAATACTTACATTCAAAAACAAGATTAACCAGTACATTTTTCTTTCTGGGCATGATTCCTGTCAAGTTTTTAGAGTCAGAGTCATATTAGCCTCATAAAATAAGTAACATTGTAAAAAAAAAAAAATCTCCATTTTTCTTTAAAAAAAAAAAAAAACAGTTTATGGGGCTGTGGATGAAACTCAGTGGTAGAACATGCATGAGGTCCTGGGTTCAATCTCCAACACTAGAAAAAAATTGATTTCTCTATTATGGGGATTGAATGGTTTTTGACATTTAAAAGTTTTCTAATAATTCTTTGGGCCAAATGGCCATTTTTACCAAAGCAGAAATTTCTTCTTTGAAGCTAGACATGGTGGTACTACTTACTATAATCCCAACTGAGGCAAGAGGATCCTAAGTTCAAGGCCAGTCTGGGAAATTTAAGGAGACCCTGTATTAAAATAAAAAGGGCAAAAAAATTAATAAAAAGGGCTGAGCAGAGAAGTAGAGCACACCTGGGTTCAACCCTCAATCTCTACCCCCACAAAAAAATCTACATGGAGTTTATGATTTTTTTTTGGTACTGGATTGAACCCAGGGACATTTTACCACTGAGCTATATGGCCAGCAGCCCTTTTTATTTTTTATTTTGAGACAGGATCTCACTAAGTTGCCTGGGCTGGCTTTGAACTTTCGATCTTCCTGCTTCAACATCTTGAGCCACTGGGATTACATACTTGGGCCATCAAGCCAGGTTTAAAAATGTTTTAAGTAAAATTACGATCTTTAAATCTCATTTACTAGAAATAAACACTTTAATAGTTTTACATATATCCTCCCAGTCTTTCATTTTTTTTACATTGGATTGTACACATTGCTTTTTTTGGTTTTGGGTACCTAGAATTAAACCCAGGGGCACTTAATCTCTGAGCTACATCCCCAGCCATTTTTATATTTTATTTGGAGACAAGATCTCACTAAGTTGCTTAGGACCTCACTAAATTGCTAAGGCTTGCCTCCGACTTGAAATCTTCCTGCCTCAGAATACCTAGTTACAGAGATTACAGGTGTGCACTTCTGCACGCTAAATTTTTTATTCTGAAAGCCATCTGTGATAAGGGTTGGGATGTAGCTCAGTGGTAGAGTGCTTACCTAACATGCACAAGGCCCTGTTTTTTTTTTTTGTTGTTTGTTTGTTTTGTGTTTTAATAATGTGTTTTCCTTTTAAAAAATATTTTTAGTTGTAGATGGACACAATACTTTTATATTGTTCATTTAGTTTTTTATGCGGTGCTGGGATTGAACCCAGTGCCTCGAGTGTGCTGGGCAAGAGCTCTATCACCGAGCTACAACCCCAGCCATGGGGGTTCTTTTAGCCGGTGGTACACACCTGTAATCCCAGCGGCTCTGGAGGCTGAGGCAGGAGAATCACGAGTTCAAAGCCAGCCTCAACAAAAATCGAGGCACCAAACAACTCAGTTAAACTCTGTCTTTAAATAAAATACAGGGGCTGGGATGTGGCTCAAGCGGTAGCGCGCTCGCCTGGCATGCGTGCGGCCCGGGTTCGATCCTCAGCACCACATACAAACAAAGATGTTGTGTCCGCCAAATACTAAAAAAAAATAAATATTGAAAAGTTCTCTCCCTCTCTACCTCTATCTCTCTCACTCTCTCTTAAAAAAAAAAAATAAATAAAATAAAAAAAAAATAAATAAAATACAAAATATAGGACTGGGGGGACTGGGGTTATGACTCAGTGGTAAACCACTTGCCTAGCATGCATGAGGCTCTAGGTTCAATCCCTGGCACCACATCAAATAAAATAAAGGTATTGTGTCCATGTACATCTAAAAAAAATTAAAGATATACAGGACAATAGAGTGCAGTTTGACATATTATACTTACATAGAATATAACTTATTCTAATTAGGATCCCATTCTTGTAATTGTACATGAAATAGTGTTTCACTGGTCGTGTATTCATATATGAACTAGGAATGTTATGTCTGATTCATTCTACTTTCTTTTCCCTTCCCTTAATTCCCCTTTGTCTAATCCAATTAACTTAACTTCTATTATTCCTTTTCCCCACCTGCTTTACCCTGGGGGTTCTATAACCAGTACTGAAGAAAAAAAAAAGTGTGGTGAAAAATATTATTTTAACATTCATATTTAAACATTTATTTAGCAAATATATTTAAATTATTATAGCTAGGTTAAATAATAGCCACAAAACAATCATGAGCTGTTGTTGGTTGTTTTGTTGTTTGTTTGTTTTGATACCAGAGACTGAACCCAGGGGTGCTTAACCACTGAGCCACATCCCCAGCCCTTTTTATTTTTTCTTTTGAACCCAGGAGTGCTTAACCACTGAGCCATATCCCCAGCCCTTTTTCAGGGTCTAAGTTGCTTAAGTCCTCATTAGGTTGCTAAGGCTGGCTTTGAATTTTGTATTCCTCCTGCCTCAGCCTCCCAAGCCACTAGGATTATAGGCATGTGCCATAGGTGCTGGGCCCGGGCTTTGATCCTAACCACACAAAAAATAAAATTAAAAAAATTTTTTTGGGGTCTAAGAATGTCATTTGTAGAAATAACACCTTGAGATATTAACTATCTTTGTATCTTTCCCCTACAGGATTAAATAAATTGAATGTCATTAACTGTATTTGGAGAGAATGTGTTTCCCTACTTTCTACCAGTAAGATCTTCTCACATGTAAACTCTACCATAAATTTTCCTCTTCTGTAATTCCTTAAATTCTTTCAGTGTTATGAAAGTCACATATTAACTTTTCAAATATACTCTTATGATTCCTTTTCATCTTTCACTCTGCCAGATTTACAAACAGGTTTGGTGACTCTGTGATTTGGCTCATCCAGGCAGTAGGAAACATGTTTGCAAGGGAAGAGAGACTACACCACACACCAGGCAATACCTACCTGTGAGCCATTTGGCAGGGCTGGAGGATAGAGAGGGAAAGAAGGAAAGGGGATGGCTGAGAGACTGGGAAGACAGGGAGGTCAAGGCCATGAGGTGTCAGCAAGGTCAAGTTCAAGGTTCAGTTGAAATTAGGAGGATAAACAACTATAAAGAATCATGATTGGGGCTGGGGCTGTCACTCAGTGGTGGAGCACTTGCCTTGAAAGTGTGAGGCACTGGGTTTGATCCTCAGCACCACATAAAAATAAAGAAAGAAATTGTGTCCATCTACAACTAAAAAACAATGTTTAAAAAAAATAAAAGAATCATGATTGTACTGGGGTTGTGGCTCAGTGGTAGAGTGCTTGCATAGCATGTGTGAAGAAGCACTGGGTTTGATTCCCAGCACTATATATAAATAAGTAAAATAAAGGTCCATTGACAAGTTAAAAAAAAAAAAAAGAATCATGATTAAGAAAATGCATTTGATTTTTCAATTGTTTGCTTGTTTTTGTTTTTTGCAGCATTAGGGATTGAGTTCCCTTAAAACCAAACAGAAGGAAGAAAGGCACATGAAGTACTTTTCATGCTAGGCAAAGACTCTACCACATCACCAGCTCAAAAGAATGCACTTGGGAACCCAAACTGGTTCTGTGAACTGTGGAATATAGAACAAGTCACTCAATGTCTGTGGGCCTCAGATTCTTCATCTGTAAAGTAAAAATAATACTAGGGTTGTTGTAAGGAATAAATTATATTCTCTATCTGTAAATCAATTAACATAATATCTAGTATACAATAAGTATTCAATAAAAAACATTATCTTCATATAATTTTCCTTAGAAAGCTTGTAAGATTTCAGATGTAGAATTATGATTAAGTAATGTTTATTAAACTTAATTATTTCCTACCCTGTTTCTTAGGAAAACTTCCACATTATTATAGCACTTTCCTACTATAGGATGTATTCAGCATTTTATGTTTAAGACAGGGTCTTGTTAAATTGCTCAGGTTGCCCAGGAACTCTTGGGTTCAAACGATCCTGTCTCAACCTTCAGAGTAGCTGCAACTACAGGCATATCACTGCATCTAGTTTCACCATTGTATTTTAATTATTTGTTTTCATTCATGCAGCACTGAAATCTAGGGTGGGGCTTTATTCTTGTTTATGTTCTCAGGTCACCAGACATTTTGCAGGTTAATTTGGATTTGGAAATCATTCACATGGAGGCAGATCACTAATGTAAATGAGAAGGAGGTGGTCATCACAGGTTTAGGAAGTTAAACACTTTGCTGTTTATTTAGTAAGTCTACAGATTTAGTTTCTGTTCTTATTAATCGTGCATTTCTAAGTGTCACTGAAACATATTTTCAGAATATCCTCATCTGCTGAGTTCAGTATTTGGCTTCTTGATGGCTGCCTATTTATAAAATTGATAATAAACACAATGATAGTTTATTAAAAATTTAAAAAGAACAAACCTAACAGTGGTTCTCTGCTGCTGTATTGTTTACACACAGACAGAGGCAGCTGCCCTCTAAGAAGTCTGCACTTCCTGTTTTGGTAAGGAATAATAGAAAAGGCAACCAGTTAGAAGTCACAGCTGGGTTTCCAAACGGGCTTTGCTGCTTACTAGCTATGTGAACTTTTAAAATTTTATTATATATTTTGTTTGATTCAATATATCCAAGGTATTATTTCAACATGTAATCAGTATAAGCTTTAGAAATCCAGAGTATATTTTATTTACATTTGTTGCACATATTAGTTCCGGTGCCTGCGGTTCTGAGTCTCAATTTCCTTATTTGTGAAATGAAGATAGAGTTGTCCAGGTCCCTGAAAGGGTTTTAAGAGTGCACGTGAACCTGCACTCCACCCTGCACAGAGGGGCGCCCAATAAGTCTGGTATCCTTTCAGTCCTTTCTCCCACTCTGCTCTGTCTCCTAGCTGTGTGAACTTGAAGGAATCATTTAACCTATCCAATCTCATTGCTTTCACCTGTCAAATGACAACAATACCGTCCCTTCTTTTTAATAGATATGAATATCAAATTAAATATTGTATATTAAGTTTTTGTGTGGGTATGTATGCTGCTAAGGATTACATTGAGGGCCTCCCACATGCAAGCCAAACACCAACCACTGAGCAATACCCTGACATCCCCCAAATCTTGAATAGTTCTGTTCAAATGTAAAGCAGTATTCTCACAAGAAATTCACTGGAGAGCTTTTTTTTTTTTTAAAGCCTTCTATAACACAGGTGTTAAGTTAAATAGAAAGTCTTCTACTCAAATTTGGATACTATGACATATATTAATAGCACAGTTTAGTTATTTGCAGTCATGTCCAGTGCTGGGCATAATCTCTAGTAGAAAGTGTTGAATTAATGAAAGAAGGAAGAAATTTGGATAGGGGTGCAAACAGGAGATTTCTGGCTTCAGAACCGTGGGAAAGTTGGGCACAGTTGCTGTGCTAATTAAGTATGGTGATCACCATGGGCTATTTTTTTTTTCTCTCTTTCTTTCTTTTTTTTTGGTGCTGGGGATTGAACCTTCCACATGTTAAGCACATGCTCTCCTACTGAGCCTTACCCCCAGCCCTGATCAAAGGCTCCGCGCCCCCCCCCCCTTGCATTTATTTGCAGTGCTGGGGATTGAATGCAGGCCCTGGTGCAACTAGGCAAGCATTCTACTGGTCTTCATCTCCAGCCCCTGACCAGGGCTTTTAAAGCAGAGTATCCGGAGAGTAGGCAAAGCTGGCTGTAGCCCCTTAAAGATGGAACTGTTTTACTTCTGTTTTGTTCCCACTGGAGCAACCTGACTGATACCTTTTGACTAAACTAAGGAGGTAGGGAAGGCATAGAGAAAGGCAGAATCAGCATTTTTGTCTGAAAATAGTCTTAGTTAGCCACACGCCATCAATTAATAAATTAATAACAATTAAGTATTGAACAAACTTAGCACATAGTCCTGTCCTCAACACACTTACCTGACTGTTTCCATTCCTACTTCTGTGAGCCAAAGAGGACTGCTGGCTGCTCAGGCCTGCCTGATGCTGGGCCGTCTGCCGTTTGCTCAGCCACTGCCTCTGCAGAGAAAAAAATCTTTCCTACTGCTTGTAAGCATCATAAACTTCAGTTTTGGGATATAGCTCAGTGGTAGAATACTATCTTACCACGTGAGAGGCCCTGGGCTTAACCACTAGGAGCCTTCCACCCTCACCCCTGCAAAAAATAAAATAAAATAAAACTTTTTTTCAAAGATTAGATCAGTGAATTAATGAATCATCAAGTTTTTTGTTGATTTTTGCAATGCTGGTGATTGAACCCAGGGCCTTGCCCATGCTAGGCAAATTCTCTACCCCTGAGCTACACCTGACACCATCAAATATTTTTTGCATTAGTTGAGTAGACAAAATGTGTAAGGATGAAGGGAACTCAGTGTAATGCTTCTAGGAGGAAGAAATACACCAGAAAACATAATTTTAGTGCTATATGATAGGTTCTTTTTTATAACAGTTTATTGACATATTATTCACATACCATAAAATTTATCTTTTTACAGTATACAATTCAGTGGCTTTTAGTATATCATAGTTTTAAAATCAACATAACTACCCAAGTTTAGAACATTTCCTCACCCTAAAAAGAAACCCTGGATTCATGAACAGAAATTCCCTGCTCTTTCTCCTCCCTTCTTCCCAGCCCCAAACAACTATTAATTTCTGCCTTTATAATTTGCCTATTCTGGACATTTGCTAAGTTTTTTGTGGGGGTACCAGGGATTGAACCCAGGGGCGCTCAACCACTGAGCCACATCCCCAGCCATTTTTAACTTTTCTTTTGAGACACTGTCTCATTAAAGTTCCTTATGACCTCACCAAGTTGCTGAGGCTGGCTTTGAATTTGTGCTCCTGCCTGAGCCTCCCAAGACACTGGGATTACAAGAGTGTACCACCAAACCTGCCTTCAACAATGTTTTATAGTTGTTAGTGTAATAGTCTTTTGCTTCTTGTTAAATTTATCCCCATTTTAATTTTTTGATAATGTTGTGAATGGAGTTTTCTTATTTTCATTTTCAAGGTATTCATTGCTAACATATAGTCATACTGGTTTTTTTTTTTTTTTTTTTAAGATGTTTTCTTGCTACATTGCCCATGCTACCTTCAGTCCCAGGATTTAAGCAATCTTCTTGCGTTAGCCTCTGAGTAGCTGGGACCACAGGTGCACACCACTATACCTGGCTTGATAGGTTCTTCAAATACTATGATAGGTGGTAGGGAGAGTTGTAGGAGGGCAGAAAGCAAGTGATCAGCTCTGACTACAAGAATAAGGAAGCTAGAAAAGAGGAAACAGTGAGTTTCACTTATATAGGTGATACATTAGCAGACTATAGAGAGAAGAGGGGCTACACAAGCAGATTGGAGATAGATGAGCCAGAGCACTGAATGCCCAGACCCTGACCAAACATGATCTGCTACTTTGCCCATGTGATTGCTATCATCTCTGTTTTAAGGGCTTTACACTAAAAAAGCTTAAAGCCAGTGACCAAGCCATGGCAGGAATTCTATTAGCAGACTGCCTGTCATTGGGAATTATGCTCCAGGATGAAGAATGCAGTTTGAGTGTCCAGTTAGGAAAATGGAGAGCTGAGATAGTAGGTACAACCAGTTGGAGGAGGTAATAAAGAGAACAGAAAATGAATAGACATACTTGTTACTCAAGGTTACCACAAGAGCGTTCATACCCAGGCGGAGTGAGGCACACCTGTAGTCCCATCTACTTGGGAGGCCGAGGCAGGAAAATCTCTTGAGCCTAAGAGAAAATCTCTTGAGCCTGGGCAACATAGACAGATACCATCTCTAAAAAAAGGGACTGGGGCTGTTGTTCATTGTTGGAACACTTGCCTAGCATGCACAAAGCCCTGGGTTCAATCCCACCACCTCAAAAAAAAAAAAAAAAAAAAAAAAAACCTCTTCAAATCTTTTTTTTTTCTTTTTTGGTACTTGGAATTGAGCCCAAGCGTGATTTACTACTGAGCTATATCCCTCGCCCTTTTAATTTTTTATTTTGAGACAGAGTCTTAGTTGCCCAGGGGCTCAGTAAATTGCTGATGCTGGCCTTGCACTTGTGATCCTTACACCTCAGCCTCCTGAGTCATTGGGATTACAGGCTTGAGCCACTGTGCCTGGCTTTGGACATTTTTAAAAGAAGAATGGCTCATTCGAATTCTACCCCCTGCTCCCCCCACCCAAACTCTTCTAAATTCTCAATATTCCAGGCAAGTGCTCCTGAATCATACTACAGGATGACACGAAGTGGTGTCAGCATCAGAGGCGGACATCCACATTATTTTTCCAACCTCTAAGCTGCAATGAACAAGAACCTTCAACCAAGAATGTGCTGAATTTCCTTTCCCTGGGGCTGGGGATATAGCTGAGTGATAAAGACTTGCTAATATGCCTGAAGCCCTGGGTTCAATCCCCCAAATAAAAACAAACAAAAAAAAAAAAAAAAGGAAAGTCCTTTCCCTATCAAAATCATAACAAGAGAGGGCTGGGGGTTGTGGCTCAGTGGTAGAGCACTTGCCTAGCACGCATGAGGCACTGGGTTCGATGTTCAGCACCACATAAAAATAAAGTAGATATATTGTGTCCACCTAAAACTAAAAAAAAAATATTAACAAGAGAACTAACTTTAAGCAAAACCCAGCTACTCAGACATCTCAAAGGCCCATATTCTCTGAGGGCCCACATTGTCTAGGTAGCCATGGACACAATAGGGAAAGAGCATTGGATGGGGAGCCAGGAGACCTGAGCTCTGTGTACAGTCCTGCCAGTAATGAGCTATGTCCCCTTGATTGGGCAAATCACTTTACTTTTTTTTTTTTTGGAGGGGGGGGCGGGAGGTGCACGGCAATGCTGGGGATTGAACCCAGAGCTTTGCGCATGAGGAGTCAGAATAAAATACACACTGAAGTCCCTTCTGAAGATGAAAAAAGTTAGTTTTGATGACATATTTAATATTCATTTTAACTAACATGCTATGTATACTTATTATAAGCTGTCACTTAATGTGTCTCAAGTATTCATACTTCATGGTGATCTTATAAATAATCTGAGGGTTGGAGCTGGGGGTGTAGCTCAGTAGTAGAGTGTTTGTGTAGCATGTGTGATGTCATGAGTTTGATCCTCAGGACTTAAAAAAAATCTGAGGGCATAATATACAGAAAATTTATATAATTTAAGATGTGGTATTATTAAAATATTAAATATCGGGTAGCTTTGCTTTAGTGGCTTACTATTGGTCTTGTGGATGTGTTGCAGCCAAGCTGTCACGGGGAAATATCTTACTTTGTGAGTTTTCCTTATTTTTATTAGCAAGTTTTTTTTTTTCCCCTAAATGCAGAACGTTTCACCAATGTGTCATCCTTACACAAGGGCCATGCTAATCTGCTTATCATTTCAACTTTAGTTCAGGTGCTGCTGAAACAACCACAAGATTATCTAAAGCTTATAAAATACTTATATTCAGTATAGTGTAGTGGCCCAAAGTGCAGTCGCTGGAGCCAGACTTCCTAGGTATGAATCCTAGTTTCATGCTATTTGAACAAAGTGGTTATTATTATTTTTTTAGTTGCTCATATGTTTATTGACAAATAGGATACACATACCCACTCACAGGTACCACTGGGACACTTCAGGGACCTTGGAACTGGGAATCCTCCTTCTTCCCTGCTCCCCTCTTTTATAGAATCCTTTCTGACCTAACTTGGGCTCTTGGACACTAGCATTTTCTTGCTGACAACTCTATAGGTATGCAGGATGGGCTCTTCGTGTTTCTCATCCACATCTACATTTCCTTGTGGATCAGGAACAGGGGTCTGTGAGCTCATTATCTCATGTCAACTCTTTAGTGGTGACACCTTGGGTCACAGCTAGCTTGCGCCTACTTTTTTTTTTGGGTACTGGGGATTGAACTCAGGAGCACTCAACCTCTGAGCCATATCCCTAGCTCTATTTTGTATTTTATTTAGAGACAGGATCTCACTGAGTTGCTTAGGACCTCTCTTTTGCTGAGGCTGGCTTTGGACTCTTGATCCTCCTGCCTCAGCCTCATGAGCCACTGGGATTACAGGTGTGTGCCACTGTGTTCTGCCCCTACATCCTTGATGTCATTATACTCTTTGGTCATCCATCTACACTGTAGCCTTCAGTGATATCCTTGTCCAGAATACCACTCTTCTCCTTTAGTCCCTCA